CAGTTCTCCTCTTCCACCATGGAGGGTCTAGATACTGAACTCAGGTCACAGGCTTGGTGGCCAAAGCCTTTATCACCGAGCCATCTCACCACCCAGACAAGGGCTCATTCTGTTGCCCATGGTGACTCAATAAGCAACACATGGGCTAAGCAACCCTCCTGCCTCAACCTGCTGAGTGGCTGGGACTCCAGCGATGCGCTACTTCCCCCTGCCAAGCCTATGAACCTTGAGGTGGCTTTTTAATATGTTCCTTTCCTACTTGGAGAAAAATGGATAGGGAAAAAAAAAAATCTGCCGGTCCACATGGTCAGACAACTGGCTTCCAGCTGACCAACGTTTTCATAAGTCATTCCCTTAACTTTCAACCTCTTAGCCGTTCACATCAAAGCTAGGCAGAAGTTCACTCTTTCCCACAAGCAGGATGTCTGTATCACCACAAAGTTCCCAAGCATGATGCTTTCTCTATCTTCATTGGCCTGTGAACTCCATTAGGGAACAGACTCTGTTATTCGGCTTCTATTTCCAGAGCCTGGCAGAGTGCCTGGTAAACACAGTAATTCAGTGAGCGTTTGCTGAGTGACTGCCTGCACACATATACCAGCTGATCAGTGTGTGTGGGGTGGGGGGGATCTGACCTCAGTGAACACAAAGGTGGATAAATATTTGTTTCCTTTCATGGCTTTATTAGTTAGAAAGTGCTTCTATAATCTCCCATAAACATTACTCTTTTGTGGTGTTTATGACATATTGAGCATCCTGCTGGGGCTCTCCCAGTAGATTTTGTCTCTCCCTATACAATTTTCAATAGCTTTATGTACTCCCCTCATCCAATGAATGAATAAACAAATGTTATTGGTCAAACCATACCATAATCGTAGGTCTATTAAAGTCTCCCAACACAAACACCAAAGTTTTTAAAAAGGAGGTTATCCCCCAGGAAAAACACTGGCAGAAATTCATATTGCCAAAGACAATGTTAATTTAACAACCAATACCAAGTAGCTTGAACTAGGTGTTGAGGGACAGCACTGCGAAAATGGAGACAGGGTGATCGGGAATTCAATGTCATGCTTTGCTACATATGGAGTTCAGGGCCAGCCTGGGTTACGTGAGAGCTCATGTCAGAAACAACAGGCCCAGGAAACGGGTCAGTCAGTGAAGTGTTTGCTACGTAAGCAGGAAGACCCAGTGCCCAGCACCAACGCAAAATGCCAGGCACAGCAGCACCCAGCTGCAATCCTAGCACTGGGCAGGCAGAGACAGGCGGATCTCCAGAGCTCGTTGGCCAGGCAGGCTTGTGGAATCAGTGAGCTCCAGGTTCCATGAGAGACCCTGTCTCAAAAAGTGAAGGGAGAGGGTCTGGAGAGATGGCTCAGCTGTTAAGAGCACTGGCTGCTCTTCCAAAGGACCCGGGTTCAATTCTCAGCACCAACATGGCATCTCACAACTGTTTATAACTCCTGTTCCAGGGGATCCAACACCTTCACACAGACATTCATGCAGGCAAAATACCAATGTACATAAAATATATGTAAAACAAATTATTTTTTAAAAAGTAAGGGGAGAACAACTGAAGAAGACACTTGACATCAATTTCAAGGCTGCACACACACCAACCATACCACACACACACACATCACATCTCACACACACATACACACCACATCTCAAACACACACACACACCACATCTCACACACACACACACACACATACACACACATACCATACACACATACACACCATATCTCTCACACACACACACACACACACACACACACACACATCACATCTCTCTCACACACACACAGACCACACACACATCACATCTCACACACACACACACACACACATACACCACACACACACATCCCACATCTCACACACTCACACACACCACACACACATACACACACATACCACACACACACATCTCACACACACACATACACCACACACATTACACACCACACCACACCCCCCCACACACACACACACAAATAGCTTTGAAACAAATGCAGAATAGGGAAGTAGAGAATTACAGAAAACCCACATAGCCAAGGTGGGTTACCAATGACAGTAGCCAAAATCTATGGATTAACCATGTCAATACAAGAGATTGCTTTAGCATCTCTGACATGAATCAATTCTGTGACTTCTTTGCCAGGCATGCTGAGGCCAGGACTCTAGGTGGGCAATGTGATTGAAAAGATTCTGTCACACGCAGTTCTATTTAGTGACATATGGACTGAGGAGCGACCAACAATACATAGAGGGGAGCCTTGATTCAAAGGGCAGGGTTTCTCTCTGCTGCTGGATCTCTTTATAATTAACCAATTAAGGCCATAGCCCTGTCTCCTGTGGGAGTTTTCTCTGCCATGGAGAATGAGGTTGCAGCCCTAACCACACAGACCTATAATAAACCATCTGGGTGAAGAAGGATAGCTTCAGATATACTTAGATTATTCCCAAGAGGTAGTTGAATGCATGTGCGGTATTCTTAGCCTCAGTAGAAAGAATTTCTCAGAGGAATTAAGCGTATTCTGACACCGTCTTTTAAGTCTCCAGTTACAGCCTTATCATATGACTCTAGCAAAGGAGACTGAATATTACTGGGCCTATTAGCAACCTGGAGCCTGGACTAGATCAAACAAGGCCCCCACCAACCATACCAATTACTTCCCTCAGACTGTTGTTCAGCAGCAGGATTATGTGCAAGTATATGGCAGGGTGGGATGAAGAAAATGTATTATGTATGGGAAAATTTATGTTAACTAGGGAATCCTTCAAATGCAACATTGGTGTTTATATTACTTAGAGGTATGAAATCAAAGTGCTACTTTGGTTTCCAGAGTTCAGATCTACTAAGGATTCTACTACTATGGAGTACATGGGTCTGCAGAGAGAGCAGTTTATGGGGTGGGTGGACAATTCAAACACCACAGGGGGCAAAGACACATTACTGAATTGCTCTAAACAGAAGAATTAATTGCAAGGTTGTCTGGCTGTTGTTTTTAGGAATATTCCATTACCACCACAGGAAAAAGAATATTTTTCACGCCCCTTTCCCCTTATTCTGGAAGAACTGGATGTTAGGTAATATACGTGTACAGAGGCATGGAAATGATGGCCAGGCTGCTTCGTTTTCACATGGGTCTTTAGATAAAGATTTAGAAATGAAAAACGGGCAGAAAGCAAAGACTAGGACTTGGCTTGGTGCCAGCTGCCTTCTAATCAGAAGGTGGGTCCTGACACCAGAGAGCCGGGTTAAAACAGAAAAGGGGGAGAGCCATGAGAGGACCAAGGGACTTGTGCCACAATGAATGGGTCAGATTTACACAGCTAAGGGCCAGAGAAGGCCCAGGGGCAGAGAGAGAGAACAGATGAATGTGACTACTGGAGGCACTTCAAGAGGTGTGCTTCCTGACTGTGTTTCACCTCTGGGTCTGTAGCTCTTTGTTAACGATTCCCTTACATGTGTTCAGTCAGGAGTGATGTGAAGATGAGGAGGCCCGCCGTGCAGGCGGGATACAAGCCCTGCCCTTTAACGAAGGTTGCGACACCCCTCAGCCAAAGGAAAATTCCAGCACAGTTGGCCACACTGGCAGAACATTTCCGTTTTTCTCTGTGTGGGTCAGGAACAAGGCTGGGGCACAGGGGCCAGAACTGGGGGAGGCTCCAAGGCAGGTCAGAATGTGGGGCTTCTTAATTAGAAACAGGGATCAAGGAGGCAGCCTGTCGTGCAGCGGGAGGGGAAAAAAAAAAATCCGACATGGAAATTCATGAGAATGGTTGGTTGCCTCTGGGGGAAAGGTTGGGAAGGGGGTAGAAACTGAGAACAGCACAAAAGGCTCTCCCGTCTTGCCTGTAATGTTAATATTAAAAAGAAAAATCGGGTTGGGGTGTAGCTCAGTGGTACAGCCCCTAGTCATATGCAAGGCCCTAGGTTCAGTCACCACTGGGGCGGGGAGGTATGTTTTCCTATGCTATCTGACTAAAAACTGATTTTAAAAACACAAGGGCTGTCTTAAAGGGTGGAAGAGCAGGGCAGTGGTAGGGCACTTGAATAGCATGCCCAAGCCCACTCCCCCAACCAGGAGAAATCTTAAATTTAAGAAATCCATAGAGAAGGGAGAGGTGGACAGAGGGGAAAGTGGGCACGAAGCCATGCCCAATAGCCTGTGCCTTCATGGCTGCCAGGCTAAGGCAACCAAAAGGATGGGTGAGGAGCAGGGAGGGGCAAATGGCAAAGGTCTCAAACAAGACCCCAGAACCGCCTGGGTCACAAAAGAAGCAAATGGAAGAGGTAACAGAATTCTGAGAGGAACTTGTGAGGAGGAAACAAGCCTGAGTCAACCCTAGCCCACCTTTCCTGTCAGATTGAGGCTCCTCACAGTAGTTCTCATAGGAGGGAGCCCCTGTTGGCTCCTAAAACTGGGCCTGTGACCCAGGTTGCTCCTCTCCGTCAACCTTGTCCTCGGTAGTGGAGGACCTAACTTGCAGGACCCAGGAAAATCACATTGGAAAGGGCCCCTCGTGTGGACCACCCGCAGTCTCCTGTCCTCTCAAACTTTCTACCAATGCCACACCACCACACCCCTCCCGTGACTCATCCGGTTAGCTCCTGAAATAGAAAGAGCTCCGCTGCCTCCTGTTCAGGGCTTCCCTCAAGGATGTCCCTGGAGAATCCCTGAGAGGCGTGGGGACCACCTTCCCTGCACCGAGATGCCTTCTGAGTGCGTGGTCCTTACTGTCCTCCGCGCTCAGGAAGGTAATCGTCCAGCTTAGAGAGAGGCCCACCGCCCTTCTGATGTCCTCAGGTTCGTGCATCTGTCTGCACCGCACCCACCACCTTGGTTCTGCCACCCAGGCTCTTCAACCCTAACGTATGATGTGCTCTGGGCTCCCCCAGAGGATGCCCCCCTCCCCATCCCCTTCCGGAGATTAGGCGGGAGGCGCGGGGTGACGGGGAGCTGGGGGTGGGAGGAGCGGGGCAGTTACCTCATTGAAGCCCTCCTGCAGGACGTCCAGTAAGTTCCCGCGGGTCAGGCAGGCTAGCATTGTTCCTGCCGTGGGGCTCCCCGGGTGGGGTCCGCCGCCGCCTCCTCCTCTCTCTGCACACAAAGGCGATCGGCTCAGCTCCCTGGGATCTCTCCCGAGTCCCGCATGCCACTTACTGGAAACCTAGACCCCGAGCCAAACTAGCGGCTTGCACTGGGCATGCTCGCGCGCGGGGCCGCAGCCGGAGGGGCCCGGCGCCGTGCTGGTTCCTATAGAAACAGCAGGGCGCGCACCGCAGGCACGGAGAGGCAAGAGGCGCCGGCGGCCAGCCCCGGGCTGCCCGTGAGTGCGGGGAAGCCGAGGGCGCGCGCACACGCTCCGGACCGGTGCGCGCGCGCAGCGAGCACTCACACAGGCGTGCACGCGCGCGCGCGCACACACACACACACACACACACACACACACACACACACACACACACACACACACACCCCGAGCTGACACAAGTGGGCTTGCCAGCGTGAGCATATGCTTACAATCACTACACTGCAGGTTTGGAGGCGGGCGTTCCCGCGCACGCACGTGAACACACACACACACACACACACACACACACACACACACACACACACACACACACACACGTATTCACTGCTCTCTTAAGGCTGCAAGCACCTCACCACAAGGTGGGTGGGAAAAGGAGTGAGTCACAGGATTCCCCCACCCCGCTCTTCGAACTAACAGCAACCTTTTTCCACGCGGGGCTGGAGAGCGAGGCAGCCCAGAGAAGAGGAAGTAGAAGGACAAGAAACAAAACAAAAAGGAGTCAGAGGAGAGAGGCTGTGGGGTGGGGGTCTTTAAATATTACGGTATAAGTAAGTGGACAGTGCTAAACAGATCATAGCATCACAACAGAAACATCAAAGATAATTTACGACGGGCGGTGGCGCACGCCTTTCATCCCAGCACTCGGGGAGGCAGAGCCAGGCGGATCTCTGTGAGTTCGAGGCCAGCCTGGGCTCCAAAGCGAGTTCCAGGAAAGGCGCAAAGCTACACAGAGAAACCCTGTCTCGAAAAACCAAAAAAAAAAAAAAAAGAGAAAGAGAGAAAGATAATTCAAGGGTGACCAAGGCTTTACCACACACGTCTCTTCTCTCTTCAGAATAACTGCTATGAGGGGGAAGGTGGGCAGCATGGCTCAGTGCAGAGAGGCTCTTGCAGAAGCTTGACACCTGAGTTCAATCCAGGAACCATGTTCAAGGTGGAAAGGGAGAACTCCTCTCTGGTACAGGCACCCATATACACACATCATGCTCTCCCACACACTAATTAATTAAGTTTAAAGATAAAATAGCTGCTAAGAGCCAGCATGGTGGTGTACACCTGTGATCCTTTACTGGGGGCTGAAAGCAGGAGGCTCAGGAGTCATCCTTGGCTACATAGCCAGTTTCTGGTCAGCCTAAGCTACGTGCAGTCCTTTCAATAGCAAACAAATATATATATACACAAGTCAGATCTGGCACTCTAGAGGCAGAGGCAGGTAGATCTCTTTGAGTCCAAACCAGCCTGGTCTTCATAGCAAGTTTCTGGCCAGCCACAGATACGTAGTGAGATTTTTGTCTCAAAAAAAAAAAAGCAGCTGGACGGTGGTGGTGCATGTCTTTAATTCCAGCACTCAGGAGGCAGAGCCAGGCAGATCTCCGTAAGTTCGAGGCCAGCCTGGTCTACAGAGCGAGATCCAGGACAGGCACCAAAACTACACAGAGAAACCCTGTCTCAAAAAACAAACAAGCCGGGCGGTGGTGGCGCATGCCTTTAATCCCAGCACTCGGGAGGCAGAGCCAGTCGGATCTCTGTGAGTTCGAGGCCAGCCTGGTCTACAAAGTGAGTTCCAGGAAAGGCGCAAAGCTACACAGAGAAACCCTGTCTCGAAAAACCAAACCAAAACAAAATAAAAAAAAAAAAAACAAGCAAACCATATTTTAATGAGTTTTTATAAATGCTTTTAATTGAAACAAAGCACCGAAAATGCCCTGGTACATTGACAGGTAAAAGCTTCCTTAAGTATAACAGGACTTCTCCCTTCTGTGACCTGGCTGAGGTCACTACTTTGATTGTTTATTTTTAAGAACACTAGTCATTTGCATGTTCAGAGTAAACTGATCTTTGAAAAAAAGAAAAAGAGAGAGAGAGAGAGAGGAAGGAAGGAAGGAAGGAAGGAAGGAAGGAAGGAAGGAAGTCAAAGGAGTGTCCACATTACATTCCATCTTGTGATCCTATACAGAAGGGGAGAATTTACAGTGTTAAGACCCAGAAAAGTCAGAGCCTTGTCCAAGGACACAGCTGGTCAGGGACACGAAACTCAATAATCAAGGAATTACAAACCATTTTCTAGCCATCCTGGATGCCCCTCTCAAACCCCATTAGGACTTCAGGAAGAAAAGTCACTATGAGCCTATTGAATCATAGTTAACCTAATAAATTACCTCCTCCTCCGGTCACTAAAGAAAAGGAGAAGCCTTACTTGGGGCAGTCTGACTGGATATGTAAGGCTACGAAAGAAACAAAGTCTCCTGGAAACATCGTGTGCCTCTGAGCACAGCAAGCAGAGCGTCAAACCTGCATTGAGTCAGTAGCTCTACCAGTTAAATCCTGTGGGTTCCACTCTGGCTGAAGCTGGGGCAAAGCTGACCCTGAGCAGCCAAGAACTCTCTATCCTACACCATTTAGCTGGGGAGTGTCACTGCCAAGACAAGGAATGGTGATCCCTTTCCTTCACAGCAGAGTGCCACCAGGAGACTCACGACCCTATGCTTATGGCAATGGAGTCCTTTATAAACAGAAGCATGGAACTTCCAATTGCATAGAACTGCATGGAGCACATCTACACACCTAATGATGCAAACCAAAACATTTAGTTGATGAGTCAGTCGGGCATCGGACAGAGGCCTGCAGATGGTCATCTGTGCCAAGAGAACACTGTTTCTCAAAAAAACAAAACAAACAAACAAACAAAAAAGCAGGCTTTGATGAGAGCAATACCTGTGAGCTCAATGCTTTGGAGGGAAGACTTAGTAAGTAAGCCACTGATTTATCACTTTAGTCTTTTGAGGCAGGGCCTCAGGTACCCCTGGCTGGACTCCAACTTCCTAATTAGTCAAAGATGACCTTGAATTCCTAATTCTACTGTTTCTGCCTCCCAACGCTGGTATGACGTGCTATCACACCTAGCTATAACTGACTTTTTTTTTAAAAAAAAAAATGTGTATCTTTGTGTCTGTGTGAGAATATGTCATGTGTGTGAAGGTCTCCGTGGAGATCAGACACCAGAAGAGGGTGGTGAGTGCCCTGGAGCTATAGCTAGAGGATGCTGTGAGCGACCCGATGTCGGTGCTGGGAACCAAACTCAGGTCCTCTGGAAGAACAGTGAGTGTTCTTAACCACTGCGCCCTCTCTCCAGTCCCCATACTAGATTTTAAATCTCCAAAATCATGATTTCACTGGCCCAATTATTAATTTCATATAAGAAAGAACCCACACCGGACAAGGTGCTTACAGTCTCTCAAAAAAAATCAATACAGGGACTGAGATCTAAACAAAGACCTCTGAGGTCTGGGCTTGTGCCTTGTGCAAAGTCCTTCATGGCATGCTGTAGAAATTAAGATAAAATCATGGTGTACACCAGTTCCCAAAAACCTAGAGAAGTAGTGTCTATTAGAACTTTCAAAGATGGAAATAGTCTATATTCTATGTGTTGTTCAAAATAGCAGCTACTAGCCACATGTGGCTATTGAATGCTGGAAATATAGCTAAGGCAATTAGGCAACTAGAATTTTGATGCTATTTAATTTTAATTCATTTAAATATAGATGACACAATTTCAAAATATTCTGTTCCACTGTCCTACAGACTATTGAGATATCTCCTCAAATTAGATTAGATCACATACAGCATGTCTCTCAAGATTGGAAAAAGCACAAAATTCCTGTTGGGCCATACAACCTCAAATTGCTCAGAAGATGTATTTATCGTGCCTGCTAAAGTACTGTGTTTAGCTCTAAGGAACATGAATATATTCTATTCCGGTTCCCCTACCCTAGGCTGTTGAGATATCAACAGAAGAGCTGGGACAGTAAGTGGGTTAGATGGAAGTGGGTTAGGAGGAATGACTGGGGCAATAATCAATACAATGTGATGCCTGTAGATGGGAAAACCGCAAAGCGCTCTGGGAGCTGCGACCCCTCCCACTGCTGCAGGCCTGGGAGAAGGCAAGGACTGCAGCAAACTGCTCTCCACAGGTTCCTGCTCCTGCTGGATTCTGCTTCTGTTTGACCTCCTCAGTCCTGCATTATCTCAGCAACAATGGCAGGTACTTCCTCTCCAAACTAAAAGTCACTCAAATATCTAGTGGAATAGCAAAACTGATTCAGTGTTACTATGATCGAAGTCCTATCTGAAGCATTAATAGGTGTACATTTGATGATCACAATTAAAATGAACAGTTTGCTATGTACATATGAAGGGAGATTGGAGGAGAGTTTGCTCTTGACCTAACTATTGAGTAGTGAAGCCAAAGTCTGGGTCCTGAAGCTTTATAAAGTATGAGCACTAGGAATTGAGCCTATGGCTATACATGCCAGGCAAGCACCCTGGCATGAAGCCACAGCTCAGTACATCTATATGATGCTTGCAACATAGACGGTACTAAACTAATGTTCTTAGATGAATGAATGAACCAGTGAAAGAAACATTAGCAAATACGTTCAAGCCATCTATTAATAAATATAATAACATGTTTCCGTAATTAAGACTCTCAGCCTTAAACAAAGCTGTCATTTGGTGAAAACACTGCCTGTGACTCCTCTCTGTGTAAAACTAAAATGCATGAGATTCACACCTATGAAAAACTTAACACATCCACTACAGGCTGTCATTCATGATGCAAAGAAGCAGAAAGGCAGTTTAAATAAACCAGTAATTAAAACTATCAATGAAATAATCAATGCCCCTTTGAAACAATTCCCTAGTCTCCCTTTTGTTTTCTCCTATCAGTTGGGTTCTTTAAGGGCCACGTATGTATGTACGTACGTACGTACGTACGTATGTATGTATGTATGTGTGTGTGTATGTATGTACATACGTATGTATGTATGTATGTACGTACATGTGTATGTATGTATGTATGTATGTATGTATTACAGTGCTGGGGGTTGAAGCCAGGGCCTCATGCATGCTGCGTAAGCACTCTCTCACTGTATACCACATGCCTAAACTGCTCTTTTGTCTCTCGATTCTTCCACTTGCCAGTCTATATTCATCATAATCATTCTCAGACAATAGATTCAAAATCTTGCTACC